TTTTACTTAATTTGCTTAACACTTAAATAATTAATTTTTCAACAGTTTGAAACTTAAATTAAAATATTTTTGTGGTTATTTAATATTGAATAAACATTTAAAAAAAATCCTATTTAAATTTATAATGAAACTAAACTACAATCCTAATATTAATACGTAAGTATATCACTTAAATTAATATATTTTTGCAGTTATAATTATATCGAATAAAAATTTTGAAAAGAAAAAAAAAAGAAATAGAGAGAAAAATTGAACTAAAAAAAAAATCCTATTTAAATAGTTTCTATAAAAAACCTAATCTACTTGTTTAAAACTTAAATTAAAATGTTGCTGTTATTTAAAATTGAAAAAAAAAATTTTGAAAAATTATTGAACTAAAATTCTATTTAAATTGTTTTAAGAAAAATCTAATCTATAATCCTAATATAAGTATATTACAAAACGTTGCTCACCTTGGCCTATACTTGTAGACACACGGTTGCAGAAATTGTACCACGCGGCACAAAACTGCTGTCTTGTCGGTCAGACAAAAATCGAACGCGTATGTGTTACTCACTCGGTATACACACGCACAAAAATTGCGTTCTGGGTTTCTACTGCACCCAAAACACACAAAAAGTATTATTTTACTTTAACACTTTAACAGGTAAAAAAAACTAAACTTGCTCCGGATTTACTACCCGAAACGTGCACAAATGTTGTACTTCACTTGTACAAAAAAAAAAAATGGTGTGTCAAGGGAATCTCTCCCAGACTACACGTAAAAACTGTTGTACTTCTCGTACGTAAACACTTTCAAAAAAAATTAAACTTGCCAAGGTTGAGGTACCAGAGCACAAAAAAATCAAAAAATGTCTCCGACCGTGGATAAGTAACCCCGTTGGGCGCCACTCTGTGGTATCACCCGTATTGGATAATACGCGGTAAACCAACTTTATACCTTACCCTCGTACGCTCTAGGCTAATGACTGTCTCTAGAATAAATTCAGATTAGCACTGTTAACCTTTGAGGTACGATGGTAGCATTTTGTCAGTTCTTCGTTCGTTTCCTAAATTGGAATGACTATTAGGACGCCACAACCAGAGCACTGTTCAGTTTGTAATAAACCTCATTGACTATAGGTGTGTGGGTCTGAGCACTGTTCCAATATTAAAGGTAAGAACGAAGAAGACTTTGAAATAAAACTCAACTCGGGTTTTTAGGTCGGAAACACTTTTATTATATTAAAACAAACATAAATGAAACACTTAGCAAATTCAAATCGTCTAGCCCGTACTACGATCGACGATTCACACGTACGACCACAGTACCTACGTCCTCGCCGATTCACTCAGCGACAACGGGACTCCCCGTGCCTGCGCGTGCGGCGGTGTTATATAGTAATCTTATCGCTGTCTCAGCACATATGCTTCACTGACCTAAGTCAATAGTTTACAATTTAAAATGTTCCCACCTCTATGACATATATGAAATAATATTTTGACGACTGTCTACAATATACGACAGAACGGAGAGGCGAACCGAGATGGATATTATGACGTATATAAGTACCTACGTCAATTTTCTCGATGAAAATTCGTAAGAACAAGAAGACTCGTGATAGTTGTATTTATAGTAATATTAATAATCATATTTAGTTGGTTTTGACTTTTGAAGTTCTATCTATTTACCTACACACGTGTCGGCGAACATTAATAAAGGTCACAGTTGTAAAGATATATTTTTGGTAAGTACCTAACTAAGTACTTTTTAAAATTATTACCGTGCTCATTATTGTTATTAATGTTATGAATTGTAATTTCCTACTAAAATTAACTGTATCTACATGAATCAGAACTAATAGAACAGTAATATGCCAGTATTCCACCAACGTTGGCACAAATACGACAGACACTTACTGGCCTTTTCTGGAAATTTAAACAGGGCCCGTATTATGCCAGTATTCCACCAACGTAGGCACAAATACGACAAACACTTGCTGGCCCTTGCTAACATATCCATCAGGACCCGTATTATACTAGTACTAGATCAGCACTTGGCTGCCAGTACAGTATTTCAGTACTGGTTTAGTGCTGTCGAAAAGTAATGGCCAGTACTATGCCCGTAAGGGCCAGCCAACAGTCGAGTAGCCTATGCTGGCGCAGTATTGTGCCCGTTGTGAATGTTGGCGTAAGTAATAAATTTCCGATTGGGTACGAGTCGACCAGCATACCAAGTACGAGACCCGGACGCAGTCTCATGACCGAATTTGGCCATTGATACAACCACCCACTCCAAAGGACCGATCATATAAATACTAGCCGCCGGGACAAGAGCTCGGCAGAGCTTAGGGATACTCAAGACATTCGGAGGCAGGTCGTAACACCGCTCACATCTCCACCATAGTTTACAATAATTATTTTGTAGTTAAAAACTTATAAAATTTTCAACTTTTATATCAAAGGAATGTAAATTTAAAACAAGATTCCAAGTTAGTAGTTAATTCTGTTACCAAAAAATCTAAAAACTATTTTAGAACAGTTTATTTTTATAGTCATTTTAAGTTCAAATTTCGATGAAATTACATATTAAAAACCTAGAATAACTTTTTTAGTTATTTGGTTGTGGTTGTATAATATCATTCACTTGAAACTTCTAAAGTACACTAGTATATATCTATGATAGTTTCAGAGTTTGTCAGTGGATATTTTAAGGAATTAAAACTGGGTGACATGAAAAAAAAAAATTCACGCTGACTATCAAAATCAACATATTATGAGCTTATAAAAAACTTTTCAAAACTCTTTATAATAATTAACAAATAGTAATTTATAATAATAGTTATTATATTGATTATTCATATAAATTCACAAAATATCAATAATATTACACCAATACCATTGGTTATAAATACTACTATTTTTACTAGTATTTATAACCAATGGTAATATGTTATACGCATATCATATTATGCAAGTGCCAAGTATATTATATTATATTTCATTTAGGATTATTGTATTTTGTAATATATTATTATTATTATTGAAAATAGGTACTGTATAGTGTATTTAGTATAAGTCCAATTATAAAATATTAAATTTCAAATTATTTTATACTTAGGTACCGAAAGTGACGAAAGTCGTCCCATCATCGTATAGTATCGTATGACGTAGTAGGTACTTTGAAGGCTTCAATTTTTAAACTGTTCAAAGGTTCAAAGTGAAATAATTATTTAGCTAATAGCTTGTAGTAACAAGGACTAAAATCAAATCAAAAACAATCAATTTTTAGATATTTGCATTATTTTGTATTATTCTATATTTCTATGGATACTTATACCGGCTACGGTGAACATGGGTTTTTCATTCTCAATAATTATTTTTCAAATTAAATGATATATGTCATACACAAATAACAAAATTAAACATAATAAATAACCAATAAATAAAACTATTTAATAAAAATATCGACATTTTTACGTGTTTTGCACCAGTGGCATTGAGAGTGCGACACTTTTTTTTTTGATATTTTTTTAATTTGATTTATGTGGGTGGGTACACCTACCCTATAAAGATTATATTATAGACCTACCTAAATACTATATAAGCTAGTTAGGTATATTATATACGCTTATACGGAGTGCTCTTCTAAAACCGAAGATGAAATAATGCCACGAATGACGTGTTTAATAGTAGGTAGGCACTATAATATGTGTGATCACTAAGTAGACAAGTAGTACAATAATAATACGTACATCACCCAGCCCCACCCATTTCAAATTTTTTGAAAATTTCGTTTACCATTATTTAATACGTAATTTGTATGAATTTGTGTGATAATTTTCAAAATTTGTACGTTCTCGGTTTACCCGTTATTGACAAAAATAATGAGTGGGGCTGGGGTGATGTGATTTCAGCCCCACCTAAGCTAAGGTTAAAAATTATAAAATAATGATCAAAACTACACCAAATTTTAGTAAGTAATTTGTATGAATTTGTACGACCGTTTTTAAAATTGTTCTCTGTTTTATTTTTAGTGCGTTCCATTCAGATTTGAAATAGTCATATAATATAATTTTATATTTTATAACTGTAACGTCTCCTCTTCACCTGGGGGTCGCATCCCTCGGTGTCGTTCTGTTTATATTAACGAGGTCTCGGAAACTCGACCTCGGTGTGTGATATTATTGCTAGGGATCAGGGTTACCTATTATGTAAAGCAAAGTACTCAAAGTATATATATATATATAAATATGTACCTAACTATTATAAACTATCGAATCTTATAATATAAATAACATCAAATAATAGTTATTAGATATACTTATAAATTAGCTTAACTGAGGGTTAAACTTATAATATATATTTGACAATCTACGTTGATGCTCAAATTTAGTTATATCATTGATCACTATCTGTGACGATTACCTACAACATACTAGTGTCACTATGACACGCTTCTAGGCTAAACCTAAAAATAGTGATCAATAATGAAACAATTATTATGTAATAACTTTATTACTCTTTTAAATGTAAATATTTTTCAAACGACCGTGCGATAGACAATAGTTCATTATTAATAGTTTATAATGGTACAAATAAATTAACCCTACTTACGTGATACCTGGAGGAGAGGTAATGATGTTTATATTCTCTACATCGTGATTATTATCTTTGTGTATGTTGTATATCGTATATCGATACAGCACCGCCTACAATAGAATTAGTTATACCTAATATATTATATAATAATATACGCGGTGGGGACTGTCCGCCGCGTACAACGCCGACCGACACACACACGCCAGTCGACGTTACGGTTTGACCAATAACGAATATTTAATATACTTATATACGTCTTTAACACCGTACTAATTTGTGTTGTTTATTACTAACAGTAAAATACAACAAGTGGCGACGAAGATTTGGAGACAACATTTATATTCACTGTTTGTCACTCGTACATATTATATAGCACATTCTATATATTTATTATAATATTATACAATTGGCCGTTAATCATGACACAACCAACTAACGATCCGCCGGCCGTAAGAACTCTCTACTCGCAAGTAATCGGCAGTCCGGGAATTTTCGACCAGGACACGAATGTAAAAATATATTTCGCCCGGCTAAAAAATTTTTTTGCCGCGAACGGAATCACTCAAGAAAGTAAGAAGAGGGCAATTTTACTAACCTCGATGTCGGAGGAAGCGCATAAAACCCTGTTCAGTTTGTGCTTACCAGAGGACCCCGACAATAAAACTTACGAGTCGTTATCGGACATACTGCAAAAACACTATGAGCCGAAAAAGTCGTATTTCGCCGCCCGCCACCAGTTCTACTTGGCTCGTAAGAACCACGACGAAAGTGTGTCCCAGTGGGGTGCCCGCGTACGCGACCTTGCTTCGAAATGCGGTTTCGGGCCAGAGCTGGAGATAGCAGTGAGGGACATATTTGTCATTGGAATGGGTTACGGAAAGATCCAGGACCGGTTACTGGAAGAGGACGCGTCAGCAGCATCAACCACTTTAGTAAAATTGATGGAAGTGGCAATCACCAGAGAGGCCAACATCAACGCAAGCAAAGAGTGGTCGAAAGACACGTCGGCGGCGTTCCATTTCACCAAGCAGGAGGGGCCTCCGACGACGCCAAAGAGAACGAGTGGACGAGGACAAACCAACGGGAAAGAGAAGTGTCAGGTATGCGGCCGTTCCAACCACGACACCGGACTATGCAGGTTCAAAAATTATTCATGTAATATATGCGGGGTAGTGGGTCATTTGGCACCCATGTGCAAAAATAAAGGTACTAAGCACAAGTCACAAAATAAGTTTTTGTCAGAAAATGAGCGGTCAGGCGATCACGAAACCAGCGTAGAATTAATTGATTCTTTTTTTGCAATTAACGACATTTCCCGAGATAAGCCTAAAGTAGCTCCGTACCGCGTAGAATTAGTCATCGGAGGTAAACCGATATCGTTCGAAATTGATACCGGTTCGGTGCATAGTATCATTTCCGAGTCGACGTTTAAAGCTATAATAGGTCCAAAGGTAATCGTAACTAACGACGTGGAGTTATCGGATTACGTTGGTAATATAATTACACCAATAGGTAAGGTAGCGCTCAAGGTCAGGTACAATAATAGAACCACCGGAATATGGGTATATATAGTGCCAAACGGAGGACCACCAATATTAGGTAGGAACGATCTAGCAAAGCTCGGTATTAAAAACGTGTTTGAGTGTAAATTCATCGGTGCAGAGGATAGCGTTAAAACAATTTTAAATAAGTATCCTAACGTATTCAGCGAAGAGCTAGGGACATTTAAGGGGTACAAAATATCCCTTACAACGAGGCCGGGGACCACACCAAAATTCTTTAAACACCGACCAGTGCCCCTAGCGCTAAGAATTAAAGTCGAGGCTGAAATAGATCGATTGTTGGCCATCAACCGCCCTGATACCGGTCGACCACAGCGAGTGGGCAACTCCCGTAGTTCCAATTTTGAAAGAGGACGGTAGCGTCAGGTTATGCGGAGATTTTAAAATAACCGTAAACCCCGTATTAGTCAGTACAGAATATCCCCTACCAAAAATCGAACACCTCTACGCCAGAATAGCGGGAGCGAAATACTTTTCAAAAATAGACTTGAAAGACGCCTATCAGCAGTTGGTACTCGACGATAGTTCACGCGCATTAACGACAATAAACACGATTAAAGGTTTATTCAGGTTCCGTTTGGACTGAAATCATCGGCGAGCGAATTTCAGAAAGCGATCGAAAGTATCACAAAAAAGCTGGAGGGGGTCGAGGTATTCATTGACGATATAATAGTATCAGGTAGGACGATACCCGAACATAACGTACGTTTGGAACAACTTCTAAAAGCACTCGGCTCAGCAGGGCTGAGAGTAAGAGAGCGTAAGTGTACCTTTATGCAGACGGAAGTAGAATATTTAGGTCATAAAATAGACGGACGGGGTTTGCATACATTAGACAAACACACAATCGCGATTAAGGAGGCAGCGGCGCCCCAAGACAGGTCAGAATTAAAAAGTTTTCTAGGGTTGGTAACATACTACACTAAGTTCGTGAAAAATGCGGCACGGATACTTAAACCGTTGTACGACCTTTTAAAAATGGGCGCGAAATGGTCATGGTCCAAAGAAGCGGACGAAGCGTTTGATAGCATTAAATCGATATTATCGTCCAAACCAGTTCTAGACCACTATGACCCGTCGGTGCCGATTAAACTAATGGTAGACGCGTCATCATTCGCTATCGGCGCGGTTATATCACAGGTATACGGCAACGCCGAAAAACCAGTAGCCTATGCATCGCGCGTCTTATCAGAAGCGGAACGCAAATACCCGCAAATTGAAAAAGAGGGGTTAGCGATAATATACGGCGTTCAAAAATTCTACGACTACTTGTACGCACGAAAGTTTACTTTAATCACCGACCATAAACCACTCTACCACATTTTCGGGGAAAAGAAAGGTATACCAATTTACGCGGCTAATAGACTACAGAGGTGGGCGTACGTACTAACAGCATTCGACTTTGACATTTCGTTCGTTAAATCAGGGAAGAACGCAGCGGATTTCTTATCGCGCATAAGAACAGGCACAGCAGACAGAGTGTCTACGGCGCCGCAGTGTCTAAACTTTATATACGACAACTGTCCGTTCAACGTTAATTGGGTCAAAATAAAAACACAAACACGAACTGATAAAATCTTATCGCAGGTAATTAAGGCTATCAACACAGGCGATTGGCCAACAGGCGCAGATAAAAATGAATCGCTTAAGTCATATTACACGCGACGCCACGAAATTTCAACCGAACAGGACTGTTTGATGTGGGGGTACAGGGTGATTATGCCGAGTAAGTTCAGGGAGGCCCTGTTGACAGAATTGCACTCCACGCACGCGGGAATGAGCTGCATGAAGGCGATCGCGCGTTCGTATTTTTGGTGGCCGGGGATCGACAATGATATAGAAAACAAGGCGCGAAAATGCGAAAATTGTATACAGGTTAGACCCGCACCACCAAAAGCTGTGCTAACGCCATGGAAGTGGCCGGAACAAGTGTGGACGCGCTTACACGTAGACTTTTTAGGGCCTTACAAAAATAAAAATTTTTTAATAGTAGTCGACGCGACTTCAAAATGGCTCGAAGTGTTCGAGGTAAGCACGAGTACGGCGTCGGTGGTAATCGGAAAAATGCAAGAACTTTTCGCTCGTTTCGGTGTCCCCAAGTCCATTACCACCGATGGAGCCAAGTGTTTCACAGGTACGGAATTCGGTACGTTCTGCGTCAACGGAAACATAAAACACTTGGTGGGAGCTCCGTTTCACCCGGAAACAAACGGGGCAGCCGAATCAGGGGTTAAAATTGTAAAAAATTTCTTTAAGAAAAACCAAACCACCAGCGCGACGCTATTACAGAAGTTCCTGTTATTTTACCGAAACACACCGCACTCGGCAACGCGCCAGACCCCGGCAAAATTATTACTAGGACATAGCACCCGAACACAGTTCGATATATTGATTCCCAACACAAAAGACGTGGTTAGCGATCACCAGGATTCCCAAATCAAACGTCACGGTAAACGACAACACGAAATCCAACAGGGAGACACAGTGGCCGTGCGTGATTATCGGACGAATGAAAATAAGTGGTCGGTAGGGACCGTCACGAAAAATGTGGGAAAACAAGCGTTCGAGGTGGATACTGAGGCGGGCACATGGAAGCGACACATAGACCAGACCATTAAAATACCAAATAGGAACTCAGGAGTGTTGGAAGTCGAATGTAGCGAAAACCCATCCCACCCAAGGGGGGGACTAGAGCCAGAGGGGACCGGGAGGGATACAGACGGGCCAGACAGGGAAACCGAGACAATCTCAACCGGACATTCGCGCCCGACTAGAATGAAAAGATCGCCCGACCGCTATACGACAATAGATTTCAGGAAATAAGACCGATACTACATGTTTATATATATGTATATTTGTTTTAATTATAACATAGATAAATTAGCATGTAAAAGATGTCATACACAAAAAAAAAAAATGTAAAACTAGATGTAAGGCTTAGTCAGTAAGTAGAATAAGCACGGTTATATAAACTCAAAAGCTAATCAAATTATTTAATCTTAGGGGAGAGGTGTTGTATATCGTATATCGATACAGCACCGCCTACAATAGAATTAGTTATACCTTTTTTTTTTTTTTTTTTTTTTTTTTTTTTTCCGGTTTGGAATCACGGACAGGGAGGGAAGTAGGTTTCCCCATTGCTGCCTCCCTGGCCGCATCGTTTATTGATACAATATACATCACATTACATAACATCATATAAATTTAGTTACAAATAAAAATGGGGGCCTCTAACCACCCTGAAAAGTTTGGCCATTCAGCCTACAACAAACAAAATCTCAACTAAGATGACTTGACAGGTCGCCTTTATTCCACCGCAGCTTCCCGCTGTCTCGCCCTCTCCAGCTCCTCCTTGCGGCCCATGATCACCTCAACCATCTGAGCGAACTGGACTTTCCTTTTCTCTGCTGCAGCCAGGATCCTACCCCTGAGTGGTACTTCGGTTGGTAACTCCGCTGCCGATGGTCCGCACAGGAGGTCCATGGCGTCCTCCGGGCGTACTGGCCGGCCCAGGGATTGTTCAACCTCTTTCCTCTCCTCACTCCAGAAGAAGCACACAAACACAGTGTGCTCAGCGTCGTCGACCTCTGCGGTGCAGTGGGGACAAGCTGGACTCGGCGCCTTGTTCCTTGTCCAAAGGTAATTTTGGTAACAGCCATGGCCACTAAGGGCCTGCGACATGTGGTAGCTCACTTCGCGTGGACCACATTGCCACCACCTGGACAGATTGGGTATCAGCCGTTTAGTCCATGCCGCCTTTCCGGTAGAGTCCCATAGATTTTGCCAACGTCTAAGGACATCGGCCATCATATCACGCTTGGACAGAGCAGCGCCGGCTTTTTTCGCTGCCGCAATCTGTTTCCTGACTCCCGCTAGGAGGGTTGCCGGGGGCATCTTGGCCAGTACAAGGGCTGCCATATCGGACACTGTACGATAACACCTTGCAACCCTCAGTGCCGCACACCTCTGCGCTTGTAGCATTACGTTACTAGACTTTTGAAACCTGGATACTTCTTCTGACCAGATTGCTGCACCGTATAGCAGTCGGCTATGGACCACACTCATTAGGAGCTGTCTTTTCGCCTGCGTCGGGCCTCCGACGTTAGGCATGAGTCTGCCCAGGGCGGCTACTGCCTTCCTCGCCCCAACAGCTACAGTGCTCGCGTGTTCGATAAATGACAGCCTGGTATCCAATTGGACTCCCAAATATCTGATGGCCCGCTTGGACGGGATCTGATGACCATGGATGAAAAGGTCCGGGTTGCGAAATTTCTTCTTGTTTGTCAGAACTACACACTCCGATTTCTCAGGTGCTAGCTGCAGGCCATTGGTGGTCATCCAGGCTGCTATATCTTCCAGGGTGGGATTCGCAATCTGTTCGACGAGCTCTGCATTGAAAGCAGTTACCACTACTGCCACGTCGTCCGCAAATGCAATTAGCTTGGCGCCATCTCTCATTGGGATGCGCAGCACACCGTCATAAAAAAGGTTCCACAGTGTGGGGCCGAGGACTGATCCTTGCGGGACCCCGCATGTTACCCCCATGTTAATGTCATCGGTTATTTTCAGATTCCTGGCCTGCATGTAGGAACGCATTATCTCAACTAAGTACTTGGGGACTACGGATTTCCTCAGTGCCTCATCGATAAGCTTCCAAGGCGCAGAGTTAAAGGCATTCCTCACGTCCAGGGTAATGAGGACACAAAGTTTCCTGGCTCGAACTGGGCCGTGGTTCGCTTCGTGAGCCGTCTTCATGACTTCCTCTATTGCGTCCGTGGTTGATTTCGACCGTCTAAACCCAAATTGGGAGTCACTAATTGCGCCGACCCGAGTGATATGGGCCTCGAGTCGGTTTAACAGCACCCTTTCGAATACCTTGCCTGCCCCATCTAGCAGGCTAATCGGCCGGTAGCTGGAGGGTAGGTCCCGTGCCTTACCCTGGCCCTTATGTAGCAGTACTAGTTTGGCACATTTCCACCGGGATGGGAAGGTCCTATTAGTTAGGCACGCGTTATAGCAATTTATGAATCTCTCCGGAAACTTGGCGAAGGCCAACTTTATTATCTCATTTGGCACCTGATCTGGCCCTGGCGCCTTACCAGATGGCAGTCTATCGACTGCGCACTTGACTTCGTGCGCAGTAATTGGTGGCGCCATTGGTGCACAATCGGATAGATCAATTAAGACTGACGACTGCTGTATAGACAGGGGGATGTGAACCCAGTCCGTAGCTGGTGGCGACGGAAAAAGGCCATGTGCCACGTTGCTTACAGTCACCAGATCCATGGCAGGAGCGCGACGCCCAAGCCTCTTTGTAACCAGCCTGTAAGGGACGCCCCAGGGGTCATTATTGACTGCAA